TTCTAGAAGAATCTGTTGCACGCATATACAGAGTGCACCAAGGTTCTTGAAAAATCTTCAAACTTGTTTTCTCCGGATCCAAGAAGAGGAGCAAGTCGGGGTGCTACCAGCGCCCGTGGGGAGGCGCCCCGGTAACTGGGGGTTTACCCCCACACCCCCCGAGGAGAAATCCTTAAAAAGTGCGTTCGCTCAGCGCGACCGCCTTCGGGACAAGGGGAGGGTGATTCGCACCCCCCCCCGCCCCAAATTATTTTTGGAATTTTGAAAAATTTCCAAAATTTCCTCCGTATTAAAAGTGCGCGTGTCAAGCCGGAGGGAGTCCCGTCGTCCTACAGACCGCTCTGCCTTCTTAACGACATCGGCAAGATGCTGGAGGCGCTCCTGGTAACCAGACTCCAGGATCACCTGACCGAAGTGGGCGGCATCTCGGACGGGTAGTTCGGGTTCCGGAACGGAAGGTCAACGGAAGACGCCGTGAAGAGGTTAGAGAGCGCGGTGCTGCCAGCGTGCAACCGGCAAGGCTACGGCTTGGCGGTCGGCCTAGACATCAGGAATGCCTTCAACAGCGCCAGCTGGGCGAAGATCCTCGATGCTCTGGACGCCCTAGAAACACCGCCCTATTTACGAAGGATGATCCGGTCGTACCTGAGTGAGAGGTGTATTATCATCGGGACACCGGCGGCGGGCGTCATCCGGAGGGAGGTGACGAGTGGAGTCCCGCAGGGGTCAGTCCTGGGCCCTCTTTTGTGGAACATCATGTTCGACGGCCTGCTGCGGGTACGGACCCCGCCGGGCACGACCACCATCTGCTTCGCCGACGACACTCTCATAGTGGCGGAAGCGGATAGTATTGGTGAGCTGGAAGGCAGGGCCAACGGGGCGCTCGAGACGGCGGCAAGGTGGGTCGCACGGGCCGGGCTGAGTCTGGCAGCGGACAAAACGGAGGCGGTGCTCTTCACGAATCGTTATAAATACGCGGAGCCCGTCGTTAAGGTCAACGACGTGAGGATCCTAGTGAGGGAGAACATGAGGTACCTCGGGTGTTCGGTAATCAGGGAGCTGTTGGGAAAGAGGAAGTACCATGGAGCAAGGTGATTGGGAAGAAGAAGATGAAGAACGCGGAGGAAGAAAGGATAAAGGTTGCCGCACCCAGGTCAAGGAGAGGCGGAGACAAAGCGGCCACGCCGGAGCCGCCCTCAAGCGGTACTGGTGAACGTGAGCCGGGAGGACTTTCCGGAGCTCGCTAAGAAAATACGGACAGGGGTCAGACAAGAAGTTGTTGGAGACAGAGTTATTGGCATGAGACAAGTCAGGTCCGGCGGCCTGCTGATTGAGGTAAGGGGCGACACCGCACAAGTCGAAGCAATCAGGGCGGAGGTGGCCAGATCAGCGGGCGAAGAAGTGTCAGTCAAGTCACTCCAGGCGATGACAATGGTGGAGGTAAGGGATCTGGACCAGTGGTCAACTAGCGAAGAGGTATCAGGAGCCATAAACGCTGCCACCGACGCGGATCAGGCCGCGATCAGAGTGCTGAGCATTCGACAGCAGTTCGGAGGCACTCAGGCTGCTGTGATCCTCGTTTCCAGAGACGTGGCAGGTAAACTGCTGGCCAGTGGACGGCTTAAGGTAGGTCTAGTTAGCTGCAGGGTTAGGGTTCG